CAGGGCCCAGGACAAAGCTGCCACAGGTGCACGCTGCTGCCTCCTGCTTACAGGGGATGAGGCCTGGGGAGCTGAGCTCTGACCTGGGGGTAGGCCCTCCAGACTTGGGCAGCACTGCCATGACCACCTCCTAGACGGAGAAAGCAGGGTGGACTGAGCACAAAGGGGGAGCAGTGGAGAGAAGAGGGGTTCAATGACACGAACACACTTGTGTGGCCTTGGGGAGAAAGGGGGCACGGACATCGGGGAGCAGGTTTGCCACACCCGTGAATGAACAGAAGACCTTCTCCCAAACAGTGCCAGGACACCCTGGGCGACGGATTCACCGGTGAACACAGAGATCTTTTCATGGCAATAAAATACATTCTGACATTTAACATAAGAGACTGCTGGGGACGGCACAGGAAGAAGTCATTTCTCAGCAAGGAGCTGCTGAGGCTGGCATTTCCGGTGCCTGCAGGAAGCTTGTTCTCCTTAGAAGGAGCAGCTGGCTGATGCCGAGGCTCGGGCCTCCCTCATTGGGAGCTCAGGGCCTAGCTGGGGGTCTTGATGAGCACATGATACAATCACTGCCTGTTCCCTGCTTCGAGTGGATGTAGCCAGGCAGCCTGGAGTGACCTTCAGGGCTTCTTGCCCTCCCCATGCCCACACCTACCCGGAGTCTAGCGGGTCAGCTTTATAGATGTGCTTGCTGAGACACCACCTCAGTCTCCACCTCTCTAAAGCCCCTGCCCCATCCATTACTGTCAACAAGATGTGTCTATTCCCCTGGCCACTGCCCCTCTGGGACCCGGGACCTGGCCCTCCTTCCTACTGGTAACTGCTCCCGGTACCCCTCCCCCAAGGCCCATCAAGAAGCCTGTGGGGCCGGCAACCCCCGGAATGGACTCTGCTCACAGAGACTGGTGGCTGGACCTGGGGGTGTGTATTTTTCCAATGCCTCTTCTACTGACCTTTAATTACACTGTTTGCCCAGCTTCCCAAACCATTAACTTCACCTCGCAGCAACCATACGTCAATTAACAGAGGGCCTGCTCCGAGCTTGAGCTCCTGAACACAATTAGGCGTGACAGTCCACAAATAAGAAAGAACTGGAGAATTAATTAAGGTCTAAGCAAATTAATTACCAGTCCCCAATCGATTCCGATGCCAGCACACATGCTCCTGGGCTCACTGTCTTTCCTAACATCTCCACGTATAAATAGAAACTGAGATCTCCCACACGATTGCTGTTCTAGACCAGGGGCACAGCATAGCCCTGAAACCACCTCTCTCCAAGGGGAGAGAAATGGCTGCAGTGAGCAGCCCAGGGCTTCCCACGTACTCAGCACATGTGTGTGTACACCCATCACTCATGTGACACAGGCATGTGCACACACACACTCTGAAAAACTGGGGGGGGAACCTGGAGGCAGAACAGGGAGGATACTGCATAGCCTTGGCTGCCTCTGGGCCACACTGCTCAGTTTCTCAGCTACGGGGGTGAGGGGTTATCTCAGAGGGCTTGAAATAGCCCTGGGCTGGGCCTGGGAGGCCTGGGCTCTGGCCAGCTCAGTGCCACTTTCAGCAAGTTTGACTTTGTTCATTCTTCTGTAAGAAGGTGATGGCATGCTCTGCCTTCAGACCCTCCCAGCACAGAATGAGGAGAACCGAGGGAGGAGAGAGGCCTGCTGGAGAACATGAGGGGAGCCGTGCAGCACCCAAGAGCTCTGCAAACCTCAAGGAGGCCTGCAGTCACAGAGGTCCTGGTGGGAAGGGGCTGAAGGAGGGTCTCGTCAGAGGCCTCATTTCCAGATGAGGAGACAGTGGGTAGAATGGGGTGGGAGTGGTGGAGTTCGGTGTGGGGTCCAGGTGCGTGTGTCTCAGGCCACTCTTAGGCAGTGTGTAGCCCACCTCCCAGGCTTCAGGCTGGAGCCTGCAGAGGAGCTGGCAGAGCCTTGGGAAGAAGAAATTGACTCCTGGGGCTTCCTTGTTCCCTAGAGCTTGAGTTCCCAACCTGCTCAGAAGTGTGAGAGTCTGGATGTGGCCTCTGACCACAGGGCACAAGCCTCTTCAGGACCCCCCCATCACCCTGAAGACCCCCTTCAACTCCACTCACATCCCAACAACAGGGCTTAAATATAGTCACTGCCACTTTCCCCAGCCACCTTCCCCTGTGCACTCACTGCTCAGTGAGTCCCGTCTCTGCAAGCAGCCTAAAGGGACAGAGGACCCTCCACGAGGTCAAGCACAGCCTGAGCCAGCTTCTTGGTCACCTTTAACGGTGGCCCAGCCAGGTCTGGCCTGGCCTGCCTCGGAGAGCTGGAGTGAACTCCAGGCAGGACCTAGGCCCTGCCAGCACCCAGTGCAGCTTAGGGATACTCTGGATAAGGTGAAGAGAGGCCAAGTACAGGGACTGGACAGTGGCCTGAGAGGACCAGCGGGCTTTTGAGTCCCTGGTGGGTAAGGGCCATACCTAATCATCTCAAAACTGTGTCAGCATTGACCAGGGCAGTCCACAAGTGCCCACTTGCGGATGAGAGGGATGGACATGGGGACTAGAGAGATGGAAGCCTGTGTGGGGGGAGGGGAGGCTGGGGCTGGGGCAGAAGGCAGGCAGGCACCCAGCCAGGACTCAGCAGCCAGGCGGAGGAAGAAGCCACAGAGGGCCTGCCTCTCCCTGGATCCCAGCGAGTTAGGACTGTCAGGGCTACAAACCACATTATGCAAGCTGCGAGGGATGTTCAGGATCTCAAGACTACAACAGTGGCTGCACCTGTGCCAGCAGCTGAGGCCTCATTCCCAAAAACAAGAGGGGAGGGGAATTGCACTGGAGTCTGAAGAGGGGCAGGTCAGAAAGTCTCAGACCCAAAGCAGGGACCCTTCTACTGAAACAGTCCCAGAGAGGTTAAGACCACGCCAAGGTCACACAGCAAGATGGCCAGTAGGGCTGGAATGGGCCCCCGGCAAAGTTCTTATCTAAAGCTTGGCTAAGGACAGATTACATCTTGGCCGAATCCCAGATCCAGCCCAGTGCAGCCGAGCGCTGCCCCTTCTCAGACTGTATCTGACCCTCCAGGCTGAATGGCCAGGAACAGCAGTTGGGCAGCCGTGTTTGCTTTATTAGGCCTCTTAACGAAGTCAGATCTAAAGAGTTATTCCATTAATGGCCCACGACAGAAATAGCTGAAAGTTCATTAAAAGTGTGGCGTTGCTATAGCAATTATCTGGGCTGGCTGAGGCTAAGCCAGGTGGCTGGTTCTGGGAGTTCATTAGTCTCCGGGTCATCCAGGGGTGGGGCTGCCCAGGAATGACCTCTCACCCTCTCACAGGGCTTCGCGAGTGCTTCAAAGCACCTTCCTCTCAGTGGAAACTGGTTTGTGGCCTCACTTGCTCCTCCCAGAGCTCTGGGCTGTAGGAAGGTGGGTACTGGTACCCGCATTTTACAGATGGAGAAGCAGGGCCCTGGAGATGATGATCAGGGTCAGGACCATGAGCCTGGGTCTGACTCCGGCTCTTCAGACTGTGCCTTGGTACCACAGAGGTCACAAGTCCTCATGCCCTGTGCTGGCCTGTCCCCACTGTTGTCCTCTGGCACAGATGGGGAGCTCTGCTGTTATGGTTCAAGCACTGGTTTACCCTTCTCTTTTGACAACTATGCACTGCCTTATGCTGTTCTCAATACCAAAGGCTTGAAACCTAGACTAGTAGAAGCTTCCAACCTTCTCTTGTGCCAGGAACCACTCTGGCTTCACTCTGGTGAAGCCTATGGACCCCTCTCAGAACAATGTTTCTAAATGCATAAAACAAAACACATAGGATCACGGGGATCATCCTGAAAGAAATTACCAAAATACTGTGATATAGTAATAGATGTTTTTTGTTTTGTTTTGTGTTGTTTTGTTTTGTTTTTGAGACAGAGTCTCACTCTGCTGCCAGGTTGGATTGCAGTGGCGTGATCTCGGCTCACTGCAACCTCCAACTCCCTGGTTCAGGTGATTCTCCTACCTCAGCCTCCTGAGTAGCTGGGATTACAGGCCTGCACCACCACACCCAGCTAATTTTTGTATTTTTAGTAGAGATGGGTTTTCACTATGTTGGCAAGGATGGTCTTGATTTCCTGACCTTGTGATCCACCTACCTCGGCCTCCCAAAGTGCTGGGATTACAGGCGTAAGCTACCACACTCAACCTAGATGCGCTTTTTAACTAATGAATTAAAAACAAGATCTATCAGTTGATGTATTAAACATGAATTAGTGGACAGGCATGGTGGCTCACACCTGTAATCCCAGCACCTTGGGAGGCCGAGGCAGGTGGATCAAGAGGTCAGGAGTTCGAGACCAGCCTGGCTCACATGGTGAAACCCCATCTCTACTAAAAATACAAAATTAGATGGGCATGGTGGTGCGTGCCTGTAATCCCAGCTACTTGGGAGCCTGAGGCCGGAGAACTGCTTGAAGCCGGCAGGTGGAAGTTGCAGTGAGCCAAGATCGCGCCACCACACTCCAGCCTGGGTGACAAGAGCGAAGCTCTGTCTCAAAAGAAAAAGAAAATATGAATTAGTGTTGATCATAAATAATATTTTAAGATCTCTGTAAGAACTGTAATGTGCCATGAAAACATCTGTGATTTCTACTGGTGACAAAGTCACAGGTCCTGCTTCTGACTGTGGTTTGCTGCCTACATTCGTAATGGAAGGAAATGTTAAAAGGCAGTTAGAGGTTAATGTAAATCTCTTCTCTGACCAAGCTCACCGGATCTGCAGCATTCTGTCTACTGACCCCTTGGGGGTGTGGGACCCCAGGCTAAGAACCCCTATGCCGAAAGCAGAATCTCAGCACAGAGCTGGTCAGTGGGACCCCGTGACCTGTCTTTTAGCTACACATTTTGCACCACTTCTCCCAGCTGGGTGCCCCCTGGGCATCAGGAGAGGTGTGGAAGGGTCATCTGTCTTGCTGGGAGCCCCGCGGTCCCCCACACCCACCCACAGCACACATCTATGTGCTGTGCAGGTCTTACCTACAGCAGGGAACGGCACAAACCTCTGGATGAGAAGGCGGGTGGCTGGGGTGAACTTGTTGGCTTTCTGAACCAGGACATTAAGGCCCACCTTTGAAAGAAAAAAATAAAAACACAGAAAAAGTACATGATGCTGCAGTGGCTTGTGGGAGGAGGGGAGAACGGGAGGAAGGACAGAGAGTGGGGGATGTCATCTTTCCCCATAATTGCACCTCCAGTGTCACTTACTAGCAGTGGGACCTTAGGCAGGTAAGTCATTTCATCTTTCTCTGCCTTGGTTTACCTATCTGTAAAAAGGGATAGTAATACCTACAACATCCCAGAGCTGGTATAAGAATGTATGTAAAGTGGTGGGTGTGAGCTTGGCATATAAGAGACCTCAATAAATGAAGCTATATAATCATGATGTCACCAGACCAGGAGGAGTGACTGCACCTTTTTCATCTTTGTATGTCCACTACTTAGGGCTACACTCACTAGCACATAGTACACGCTCAATAAATTGGTGACTCAGGAATAAAAGCAGGAACCAACAAACATGACTGCATGGAGAAGACAAAGGCTGGGAGTGGGGCTTTGCGGAGGAGAGAAAGATGGGGTTGGGCTAGGCAGAGGAAAAGGACTTTCTGGTGGAGAAATGCATATGAGTGCAGGCCTGGAGACAGAAAAGACAAGATGCATGAAACCAGAAAAGGGGTTGGGTTGCAGAGGCCTCTGCTTCCCCAGACGGTGGTCAAAGCCAGCCCCCTGTGCTGTCTTTCCTGGGAAGCGTGGGAGGAGCCGTGGCAGGACTCCTGGCCTGATGGGCCGGGGCAGCCTGCTCTCAGGTCTGGCACACCTGGTGGCTCAGCAGGCCACCCTGTGCCCTCAGGCCTGGCTCTGGCCTTAATGTTGTGGGTGGTTGGGGAAGACGCAGAGCCTTGGGAAGGCCTCCAGGGCTGCCAGGTGTCTGCCGCTGTTGAGGCAGGGTGCAGCAAGGCAGAAACAGCCCAGGCCAGGCTGCGACTGTGAGACCCAGGAAGACAAGGAAGTGCTGGTCTGCCAGCCCCGGGGCAGTGCAGCATTCCGTGGAGCCAGAGTGCTTCCTGGCATGCCCACCCTGGGCTCTCGGGAACACAGCCTCCATCTTAAGTCTCAGGCTGATCCTCAGAGTCCAATCTTTGTCCTCCCAGCTCGCTCAAGGGAAGTGGGGGAGGCAGCCAGGGGCATCACAGCTTGGACTCACTTGAGTGGTATAGTGGGCAGGGTTGGGGAGCTGCTGGTTCACACTGGGCCCTGCTGCCCCCGCCACACGAATGGAATTCATCAAGTCCAGGAGCAAGTGACTCAGAAATGGCCTCCCTCACCCCCAAAAAGTGCAGTGAGAGAAAGCGTGGGAGGAGGCTGGAGGATACGCAGACGGGCAGTAGCGATGAAGAGGAGGGGGCTTGGGAGAAGTCAGTAAGCACCTCCTACGTGAGGCCACTCAGCACATATTCACATGAAATATCTTAATGAGATCACCACGACAAGGCTTTTGGGTACACCATGTTGGCCCTTTTTACAGATATAGACAGGTCCAGAGAGGTTAAACAATTTTGCTCAAGGACAGACGGCTGTCATGAGGCAAGTAAAGCTAGGATTTGAATGCAGGGACTGCTAATTCCAAAGCCTTGCTCCTAACCACAGTGCTCTCGACCTTCCCATTGTCTCCCACCTGAGGGAGCGATGCTTTCATATCTGCATGCCTTTGAACGGCACATCTGCATAGCAAGCACCTCCCTGACAATGGCCTCCTTGGGGCTGGGATCCAAATGAGTGGAAAACAGAAGGCAACTCCTGCAGGGAAGACAGGGCCCTTGAACCACCCCTGCCCCCAGCAGCCAGAAGTCAGCAGATCTGAGTTCAAAATCCTGCATGACAATTTAAGAAGATACAGGAAGTGCTAGAAGAGGCGGGGAGCAGGAGCCATTCAAGGAAGTGAGTAGAGGGGCTGGGATCCTTCCCCATGACAGCCTCTTGGGGGTAGGCAGGGCTGGAGAGCAGCGGGAGGGAAAGGAGGAAAGGTAGCCATCACATTTGCCTCCCTCTCTCCAAAGCCTCCCCCTCCCTGATCGGCCATTCTTCCCACTGGCTAGGACTGGCACAGCCCAGAGTGCAGGGAGGAAGAATGAAGAGAGAAAACAATGTTCTTGTCCCAGGTTTCTTCTGGCCTCTCCTTCCCTGAAAGTCACCAGGTCTCCCAGCATGGATAGGGTGACATTTAGTGAGGTACACATATGTTTCTGAAAGCATGGCCAACATGCCTGAGACCAAGAAAGGGGCTGGGGACCAGCAAAGCAGGGAGGAGACCTGGGCATGTGTGTAGCTGTGAGCTCATGAGGAGTCAGTGAGGTCACAATGCCCACTTGCCAGTGATGGGCCCAGTGGCAGGGAGGGCATGGACATAGAAGAGGCAAAGGGCCACTTACCCTCACCCCTTCCCAGGCCCCAGCCCAGGTCTTACTGCCACAGCACCTAGGACAGCCACAGCCTGAGAAGGAACCCAAGATGGCTGCAGACCAGGGGTTGGGAGCCCGTCTGTTCTGGTTCCTCAGGGCCCTTTGGCCTGGAACATTTGGTAGAGCCCATCAAAATGAAAAAGCCAAGAGGCTGGTGGCTCTGAATGCCAACTCATTTTCCCTGGCACGGTGGGTCCTGTTTAAGGGAACCAGCTGGTATTAATGGCACACAGCTCATCACAAACAGCAGCTAGCGATCAGAAAAATCAGAGCTAATAATCGGGTTCAGGAAAGATAATGAGATGTGGAACAATTACTGCTGAGGGTCCCCCAGGATCTGTTTTAACAGCATCCAAATAAGCCACAAAATAGAAATTAACCAAACAGGAGCTCCATTTTGGTAGATGGGGAAAACAAACAGGGTGTGGATTTTGCACAAGAATTTCTCGTATGGCCATCAGACAGGGGTTCTGGGAAAACCAGAGCTCAGGTCCCACAAGACATCAGCAACATCCTGAAGGAGGGAATAGGCCTTCTTGACCACTTATCTCCAAGGTCTGGCTACTGGGCCAGTGAATTTGCCATGAGCAGCTGACAGGAGACCAGGGGAAAAGGAGGGAAGGCCAGCTTCCTGATAGTCCCCACAGAGATGGGAACAGGGTCGACCAGCAGCAGGAGCTGTGGGTGGGGTGGGAGCTTCATGACACCAAATCTTTAGTGTCATGAGCTACACAGTTGGTGGCTGTAGCCTTAAGAACCAAGGGCTTTCCGGGCCAACAGGCCAGCAAGGAGACACTGGATGGAGCTGGAAGAATGCCTGCATCCCTCTCCCCGCATCTGTGCCCTGACTCCAGCCTGAATATCCGTTGCCTGGTGGATGCCTCTATGTCCAAGGGCTCTAGGCATTCCACCTTCTCACACCTCAAATGAAGGTTGTCTCGCTCTTCCTCACCCACACCCCAGCCTCCTCGCCCATTTCCAGCTCTGCTTCTCATGCCAGAGACCTCAGAGCATTCTGGGCAGAAGCCTCCCAGGGCCCATGTGTAACCATGGCTCCCTGGTGCATCTCCCGGATATCATGAATGCAGCTGTTTGCTCTCCCTGCTCCCCCGACTCAGCACACAGCCTCTGTCCCAGGATGACTGCGTGCCTCCTAACCAGGCCCCCTGCTTCCACTCTTGCCTCCATCCATCTGCTCTCTACAGCAGTCGGAGTGAAGTCTGAAAACACATGGCAACTTGCTTAAAGCCTTCAGTGGTACTGGAGGAGCCACACAGCCCTGCAGGACTGCCTGGCTTTCTTGCAAGGCTCTGGCTACCTGTATGAGGAGGTGCCGTAAGGGAGTGGGTCCAAGGGTCATGAAGCCTCCTGAGGAAGGAGATGCCTGCCTGACCCCTGAGTAGGAGGCTAGGAAGGGAGCGGGACTCCACCGAGGATCAGAAGCATGAAATACCAGGTCGTCTGCGGGGCACTCAGACAACAGTCTGCAGACTCTACTGCACCAGTCATTATGGGGGTCCAAATGGCCCTGAAGAACAATGGAGGAAGGGGCATGCCTAAAAGGAGGGCATCTCTTGGGTGGTAGATAATAATGTAACCAAGGGTTAGGGGTTTGTGTGGGCACTGGGGGCAAGGGTTGGAGAAGGTCAAAGAATCGCTGAAGTACCAAAAATATCCACCAGAGGGCACACTTGATAGAACACATTGGTAGTCAAGTAGCCCCAAGACCCTCCATGGAGGTCAATTGTTCCCCAACCCCAGCCAGCCTGCTGCTTGGCAATGGGGTCAGCAGCAAAGTAGCCAAGTAGCTGGGACAGAGTTCTGCACAGGCTAAAACATCAGTTGCTCCAGCTGTGACCAAGTTGCTTGTTTGCTGACAACAGTGACCAACCCTGACTCCTGAACCACGCCCCACAAGGGCCAGGAGGCTACCTGCTAGGAAATCAATTACACAGACCCCTTCTACACAGGAGGCGGCAACAACTTGTCCTCCCTAGAAAAGACACAGAGCTGCTTTCTGTGTCTGACTCGCACTGCCAGCATCACCATCTGCAGGCTTCTGAACACTGCAGATTCTCTACAGGGTCCATGCGATGGACCCTCCAAACCCAAAGCCACTCCCTGAACACAGTAAGACAACAGTCTGGTCCAGGATTCCCAGGTGCTGTCATCCCCCTACCTCTCTCCAGCCTGGAGAAGAACGGAAGGGCCTGAGGTACACCCTCCACCACAGAGCCAGCCAGGCCCTGTCTTGCAGGTGGCAGGGCATGCTCTGGGCCAGGGACAAATATATGCCGCTGACTTGACAACGGCCAGAAAACACAGGCCCAGGAACTAAGTATGAAGGTGAGCAGAGGGTTGAACTCTGTTATACCTAAAGAACCTCTCAAAAAATATCTTCCAGTCCCCACTGCTCTCAGGGTACCTGGGGAGGGACTTGTCTGCCAGGCGGCATGGTAATAGCTCCTCCAGCCTAGAAGCTGAGAACACCACTTGGCTTCTCCCATCTCCCTATGCCACAGGGAGTGCAGTAGGGAAAAGGAAAAAGGGGTCTCTGTGTGTGATTAAGCCTGGGTAGGCCCTGTCACTTACTTCACCTCCGTGCCTCAGTCTCCTCATCTGTAAAATGAGGATGAACACCTAAACAATGCCTGGTGCGCTGCAGGCACTCTGGAAGTGCTAGCCATTATTACAATTCTCATGACTACTTTCCAGTCTGACTATCCAGGGGACACAGAGTTGTTAGTAAGCAATGGGAACTGGAAGGTGTACGGGTTCAGTACCCAGGGATCCCCTGGAACCCCTCCTTCTATGCCAGTGTCTGGTAGTGAAGGTTAACAGCCACTGCATCCTACACAGAAAGAACCCCCCAGGGCCCAGAACCTTTGGAAATGGAGCTCAGCACTGCCCCAACAGGGAAAAACCTCAGCCAGCTAAGACCTAGCTGGAAGGGAAGGGTGTGAGGAATGGGCATGAAGTGCCTCTCATCATGTGGCTCCCCCAGGCAGCTCCTGATTGGTCCCACATCACTTCATCCCTGAGTCTTCCTCTCCAGCCCCACATCCACCCTCATCCAGGCCCCTCGTCCATGAGGGTGGCCCCACCCCTTCTCCTCCAGCCCACTTCCACCTGTACCATCTGAGACACCCAGCAGATGACACCCAGGCAGGGCTCCAGACGTGGCCTCCTTCCTCCTGAGCAAGGCACTCACGGTGCCTCTTGACTGGCCCTGATCCTCCTCCACTCACGATCACCATCACTCCCTACCCGGTGGCCACCCTCCTGCTCTGAGCCTGGAGTTGGTCATGCTCTCCTGTGTGCCTCTGCCTGTGCGGTGCCCTCTCTCTGGAACACCCGCCCTCTCTGCCCCTTGCTCTCTCCACTCTGTCCTACGAGTCAGCCCTGTGTGAAGTAGGGGCCCCTCCCCTGCTCCCACCACACCCTGGGGTCACCTTAATCATAATTCTGATTATACCACAGGACGTTCTAGCTTCCCCTCTCAGCACCTTGAAGGACACCCCAGTCCCTGCAGCCCCCAGCGCCTGCAAAGTACCTGCACATGACAGTCCCCCAGTGGGAGTCAATGGGTCTTACTTCCTCTCACCCTCGTGTAGCTGGGGGCCCAGTGAGGGCCGCCCACAGAAGTGCTTAATGCAAACTCTCGAACTAAAAAACAGTGAGGATTGAGAGAGGCTTCCTTTGTTAAAAGACAGCAAACTGTTAGATTTCAAAAATAACTTAAGACGGGATTTCTTTTTTATTCTCAAGCAAGCAGCCAGACATTGCCAAATCTATTTAGAAGGTTCACCAAGAGGCTGCTAATCCCACCCTGGTGGTCCTGCAACCAGTAGGAGTCTTCACTTGAGGGCATGCAAACTGGGGATCCCTGATGCCAAGGTTGCTGGCCAAGGTCAGGGCTCCTCTGAGTGGGGGAGGGGGCTCTCCAGGGCCCTGGAGGAGGCTGGCCTCCACTCCAGCTCGCCCTCTGTCCCAAGGACCTGCTTGCAGCCTGTAGGCCCCCATCCATGCCGCCTGCTTGTAGGGACTCGTTTTAATTAATGCCAGAGCTGGGCCAACCACTGGGGCCATGACACTTGTTTGCAGGTCATCTCCTCCTAACAGGCTCGCCCTGGGAGGGGATTTGTCACTAATTGAAGCAGAGATCAGTTAATGAGGCTGCGGGACCTGGGGTTCCAGAGAACAAGGGAAAGGAAAATAAAATAAAGCTTCTTTCTTCAGAGGTTTTGTGACTTACACACACAAAAGAAAAGCAAGCAAGCTGCTGATTTTCCAAGTCAGAAACTCCACTCCATCTGCCGGAGTTAGACCCTCACTGTGTGAAGACGTCAGGAGGAGGGACGCCGCCACCGCTAGGACTCGCAGATCGGAGGGGCCTCAAGGCCAGCAATCAGTCAGTGGCCTAATTAATAAGTATTTACGGGGCAGTGCCCTATGCTCCTCTCCATGGGGGAGAAGCCATGGTGCCTGTCCCTGGTTAACTTGTAATTCAGTGGGGATGGGGCTCAGACTGCAGAACACTGAGGGGACAGGGACATGGTACGACTGAGTGTGAGTGGGGAGGACAGGGGTTTCCAGGACTTGTGGGGAGGGAGAGTGCTACGGGCTGGAGTGGTTGGGGAAAGCCTTTTGAGGGGTGCTGGAGCTCACAGGGAGGAGAAACTAGGGAGGCCCCAGCACAGACACAGCCCCACTTGAGGCCCCAGCCCCTGCTCAGCAAGATCAGCTCTGGGAACCCCAGAGGGCTCCAAGTCCCCCAATAACTCTGTCTTCAGAACCCATACCCTACAAATCTGTGCTAGGTTTGCCCTGGCAAGTGGTTGGGATGGAGCGGCTGATGGTCCTTCAGGTGGGGCAGTGAGGACTGGACACGCAGAGAGCTCGGAGCTCTCAGAAAAAGCTGAGTGATTTTTTACTTTTTTTGAGACAGGGTTGTGCTCTGTCGCCCAGGCTGGAGTGCAGTGGTGCAATCATGGCTCACTGCAGCCTCGACCTCCTGGGCTCAAGCAATTCTCCCACCTCAGCCTCCCAGGTAGCTGGGACTACAGGTGTGCACCACCATGCCTGACTAATTTTTTTGTATTTCTTGTAGAGATGGGGTTTTGCCATATTACTCAGGCTGAGAAGCTGATTCTTGGCCTGCAGAGGAAGGAAGTCCACCGGGACAATGATCCCCTTCACTCAAGCCTTTCCATTCAGGGCCACTCAGCATCCTTCCCTATGTAGCCTCCTCCTCTCACCCCACCCCTGCGTCTCCAAGAAGGGAAGGGGATTTTTGAGCTGCTAAGCCAAGCAGACCATCAGCTCCTCTCATCACAAGGAACAAGGAGGAGGTGACAGAGTCCTTTCTCCCACTCAGGAGAGCCTTTGGCCTTCACCCAGCAAGTCCCCAGAATCAGGGACCCCCCATTTGTCTGACTCACAAATGCAGTCTCCTGCTGGGCTGCAGGACAAGCTGGGTGGCAGGTCAGCCGTCTCTTGGTGAGCCATCTGAATAGGTCTGCAATGTCTGGCTTCTTGCTTTTGTGAAGACATAAGGATTTGGGAAAGAGATCTTGGGCATGAGATGGGACATCCCACTTCACAGCTATTTGGAGATGACTTGGTCTATGTGGGAGTGAAATAAATGAGGCCATTTCAGGACAACCCCAAATCCCTCCTTTAGAAGAATGGTGAATTCAATTGTGGTGTATGGTACAATGCGTAATATACAGCCGTGAACCGTTATTATACAGTATTTACTTAATGGCACTGGAAAGACGAGGAAAGTGGGTTTTACCAAAAGGTTATTGTATGTGAATTCTTCATTATATGTGAATGTTTTCTTTTTCATTAGAGATAAGATATTGCTATGCTGCCCAACGTGGCCATAAGTGATCCTCCCATCTCAGCCTCCTGAGTAGCTGGGATTACAGGGGCACACCACCTTGCCCAGCTGAATGGTTTTGGAGTTTTTAAATTTTTAAACTTTTTTATTATTTATTTATTTGTTTTTCTGGAGATGGAGTCTCACTCTGTCGCCCAGGCTGGAGGGCAGTGGCGTGATCTCAGCTCACTGCAACTTCTGCCTCCCAGGTTCAAGCAATTCTCCTGCCTCAGCCTCTCAAGGAGCTGGGATTACAGGTGCCCATCACGATGCCAACTAATTTTTGTATTTTTTTAGTATTGACGGGGTTTCACCATGTTGGCCAGGCTGGTCTTGAACTCCTGATCTCAGGTGATCCACCAACCTCGGCCTCCCAAAGTGTTGGGATTACAGGCGTGAGCCACTGCGCCCGGACTTTTCTTTTTTTAAATGGGGTCTTGCCATGTTGCCCAGGTTGGAGTGCACTGGCTGTTCACAGGTGTGATTACAGCACACTACAGACTCCAACACCTGGGCTCAAGTGATCCTCCCACCTCAGCCTCCTGAGTAGCTGGGACTACGGGTGTGCCCCACTGTGCTCAGCTATGTGAATGTTGTTTGGTTTTCATTTTCTAATTATTTTTTCTTACCAGTTACATTAATGTATTGTGTAATGAATGAAATGACAGGGTTGTGAAGGGGCCCTTCGCCCTCTGGAGTCGGCTATAGAAGGCTATCCTAGTGGGGATCCACAGAGAGCCAGACGTAGGCACAGGGGTGGGCTCAGGGGTGGGACAAGTGTGCAGAAGGTCCTGGCAGCTTAAGCGTCCACTCTGGCTCTGGCCCAGGGCCCTGACTGTGTCACTTGCCCCTGGCCTCCTCTGGGAAGGAGGGAGCCACATCTACCATACCCTCACACTCAGTCTCTGAACCTCCCCTACTGAGTAGCTGCTCCGGCCTCAAAGTACTGTGGAGACTCAGCATGAGCCTAATGCCCCTGGCTTTGGGCACTGACAGATCTTCAGGAGGAGCTGGACATGTGACACCAGTAAGGCCACAGAGAGGGAACAGCAGCGCCCCGGTAGCTGAGCAAAAGCTCAGGGGAGCAGGCACATGGGTGGGCCTTGCAGAGTCATTCAGAGGCGCCCCCCCAACTCCGACCCAGCCACATCACCGAGCATGAGGAGCGGCCTTCTGAGCAGAGTGCTGGGCAACCGTGGCCCCACTCAAGACAGATGTCCTGCCTCGGCGCCCCCAGGCACCACCTCACCTCCCCGCCTGCTCTCCATTACAGGGAGCACCGGGTTGTGCTCTGTCTACTGGAGCCTCTTTTCGGCCTGGAAAGCCTGTCCTGACTCCCTACCCACAGAAACCTGACTCCCACATCCTTGCCCAGCCTGGCCCTCAGGTAAGCATCCACTTGCAATGCTGAGCGGGGTGGCCCGAGAGCAGCAGAGTCAAGAAGGAGCAGGGGAGGGAGTACTCACAGCAATGGAGACGGCACTGATGACAGCTCCCAGGTAGCCCTGGATGAACTTGGATACAGGTGAAGGCTGGAAAATAGAGGCAGAATTTCAGGCCTGCTGGGTGCCAAAAGCTCCCATATTTCCCCTTATAAGCTGTCCCAGCCAGCAAGAAGCATCCTGCCCACCAGCCTGGAAGGTGGGTGGAAGAGGCCCCTCAGGACCCAAAGGGATCAGGCCACCCTCAGCTCAGTTCCCAGTGTAGAAATATAAATCACCAGTAACCAGGGAGATGCTGAAGGGCCCACTTCACTCCTGCCCTATTCTTGAAAGGTCACTGGCAGACAATGCTGGCTGGAGGTGAAGAACAGCAAGGCTAACACAGACCATTGATGGCTGGGGCAAGCAGTCTCCACTTCAGAGGTTAAATGTCGCAAGGGGGCTGTTTGGCACCTGGAGCACTTTCTAGGTGGAAATGCCAGTGTCAAGGCTCTCACAGGCCTTGCCAGCCCATGGAACAACTGGGCTCCCATGTCAACAGATGATAGCTGCCCAATATCTCTACAGAGTAACATACCCCGGGTTCCAACACAGACAATTAAGAAAAAGCTAAGGAACTTGCCCTGTGCTACAACTGCAGGTTTACAGGTGTTTGGTTTAAGATAAATGGGAGTCATCCAAGCAGAGATGGCCATATGTGAAGCCTATGAGAGAGACTTGGGGTGGAGGTTTAGATGTACACTTGGTACCCACAGTGTACCAAGCCTCTCAATTCCTACAGCCCAGGCCAGCTCCTAACTCCCCTCCTCTCCCCCAAGGTTAGCAAATGTTAGGACTCTCCTCTACCCCAAACCGACAGGCCCCCAAAGGGGACCTAGATGCATCCTGCCTTCTTTGCCTTTGAACTGAAGTGGGGGAGAGGTGGCCTTTGTAGCAAAGCAGGGGCCCAGCAGCCCTTCCTGGACAACAGAAGGGTGATCGGGCCTCTACCACAAGCTCTCCAAGGAGTGCAGGGGGCTTTGGGGAGGAGGTACCAGCCCTGGACCCTCCCCACTCAGGAGCAGCCCTTCAGCTTGTGGCCAGGAGTCGGGACCTGCGAGCACTGAGGCAGCTTCCAGAAAATTTGGAGGAAGCTTTAGGGGAATGTGGCCCCCAAGTAGCTGATATCATCATGATCCAACACCCAAATGTAAGAGCTACCCAAGAAGAATCTGAAAGCCAGCCAAATTCATCCCTTGCATTGCTCCCATTTAATGGGCCTTCTTCACTTCATGTAAACAGCTCCTCCCCAGAGGGCTCCTGGCCCAGAAACTCCAGCTGACCTCAGCCGAGTCATGTCTGAGTCGTCCACCCACCTGAAGGGTTGGCATTTTAAATAAGATATCTAGAGGAGGGCCATGTTTAACCAAGAGGCAGCCACTGATGGTGGCATGTCACACTGTAGGGAGGATGACTGGGCCTCCCTATCCTGAACCCCACCACTTGGGAGAGGGCAGTGATGCTCACCTTGGTTGCATTGCGGTTTGCATAGTTGACACAGGCATTGTGGCTCTGGTTCAGCCACTGAAAGACAATGATGAGAGAAGTCAGGGAAGGAGTGGTCACCTCCCTGGAAGCCAGGCCTGGACCCCAGGAGGTCACACATCCCCAGAAAGGCACAGCATGCGGTCTCTAGCTCACATGGTGCTGCCCATGCTGCCAGTTAGCATGACTGACGGTCCTGGTTTGCCCAGGGCTGTGCTGGTGTTAGCACTGAGCCCTGCCTCTCGGGAAGTCTCTTGGTTCCTGACTGGGGTCCTGCGCACCCCAGCAGTCCACCTGATCCTGAGACAGTCACCTCTCTTGGAATGATGGCATTCACTGCCCCTGCAGACCCCCTTGCCTTTGTCACACCATCTTTATTATATTACTTGCTGGGCAAAAGTTGGCCTAGAATGACTGACAGCCCTGCACTTCTTTCAAAAATCTCCCAGTCCAGTGTCCTGCACCTCCAGTTCCCAGACACAGAGGCCGGCAGGAGTTTTGTTCATTGAAGACTGACATTTTCTCCTAGAAGACAGACAGGTTTTCCTTCCTGCCCCTCTTTCTCTGCACACATAAATACAGAGATACCCTCAACTGTTTTCATGGCATCACAACCCAGACTGTCTCCAAGAGCAGGGACCAGGATCTGTGATGCACTTCACCACCTCAGATTAGGGGTGGATTGACCTTCCTCAGTAGATGTGGGGGAGGCTGATGTCAAAATGAGGCTAGGGGCCTCAGGGTCACTGGCCTTGGGATAAGCAGCCAAGGGGCAGAGTGGGGGCCACCCCACTGACAAGCCAGCATGTTCCAGGCAGGGGCACGCAGCCCTCATCACCTTGGTCCAAAGGTTAGAGTGACACATGTGGATTGAGACATGCTGGGCTGCTAGACACCTCAGCAGGGCCAAAGTCCTGGTTTTCCTTCAGTGACTTCTGGGCTAGGGGTGGTGTCGGGATGGACTGACCCTACGCGGGGTCTGGACGGGGCAGGAGACACCAGGGCAGGGAGTTCTTAACCAGCACCTGTGTGGGCCCTTCCTTCAGGAGCCCTGTTTGCTGGGAGACTGTTACCTGCCAGAAGACAGTGGATGCCAGTGTCTGGTTGGGCAAGAGAAGACCGACTACCTATGAGCAAGAGAGAAGAAATGCTGAAAAAGGCAAAAGAAACATCCTATGCTTTTGCAAAGAAAAAATACACTACCACAAACGAGTGAGCTGGATCTATACAAACTGATGTGGTATGCCGTGTACACACAAACTGAGGTTCACTAAGGGAGAGGGTGTGCGATGGGAAAAAAACTAAGTTGCAGAATTATATTACGGCATAATCTTATTTAAAGAAAAATCACCTTATATATATAACCATATACACAAACACATGCATACACACATTATCTCCAAGCATGAAAAAACCTGTAGCGTGGATGTCTCTGGAGGTTGGGTTGCAGGTTACTTTTGCACAATCTTAAATATTTCTGTATTCTTCTTAACAATAGACATGCATTATTTCCACTATTAGGGGGGCAATAAAAACAAGCAAACAAAAGGAATACCTTCGTTTCCACTCAGGTTACCTGACTCCTTCTCACCCTAGCCTTCCTGTAGGATTTTCACGAGGATTAAACAAAAATCATTTCAAAGGCCTTAAGTGCTTTGTAAATACAAGTTGGGGGAATTTGTATCTGTTATCTGTGAATTTCCATGAAGCAAAAACCTAAACCATGTTTAAGCAACTGAATGAAACACACATTTCTAATATTTGTTGAATGAGTGAAGGAATGAATGAAGAGATGAACAAATATACACATATGGCTACGTATGGAAACACAGATGTGGATCCATTATTCCCAAAGCCCAAATATCACCTAAGACCTAGACTTGCTGACCGTTTTTTTTGGTTTAAGTCAAGATGAATGGTCTGATTTTGACACTGGCGAAGCCTTGGACTTCAGGGATCCCTGTGCATCTCTCCAGTTTACCTTTTGAGTGTTTGTGTGCAAAGTAACATCTACCAAGTCCCGCTGCATATGGGAAAAATGTGCACAACCATCCACATATTGACTTATTTATTATTCCTGTAGATAAAATGGCTCTTTGGCAAGAATTTCTGTAAGGAACAAGTATAAACACTCAATAATATGCAGTAAATCAAATTCTAGACATCCCCAGCAGCATTAGTAAATCATGTTTTAAACATTAAAATGTTTTAAAAGAGCAAACACACACACACACACACACACACACAATCTATATTTATTGGCTCATATCAGTTTGAATAAAATTATATAATATAAAACTATTCCATAGCTCCAATGAGGAATTATGAGATTTTTTTTCCCCCAGAATGAGATCCCAACTTGATTTTTTTTTCTTTGCAGTGGCAGCTTAGGGAACTAGAGTGAGAATCAGGGGAACTTGGGTCTTACACTCAGCTCCATCCCCGTGTGATCTCTGGCAGAAGATGATCCCCTTTGGGGCTCTAACTTTCTTACCTATGAAAGTGAAGGGGTTGACCTCAGTGTAAAATTCTACTTCCAAATTCTGGGTAGTTGGTGTCAAGTCAACAGAGACAGTCTTGTCTGTAATGGGATCCCATCTGCCAAGAAGTATCCCAGAAAACTGAGGACCTCCTCCTAGTTGGGGCCCCCAGTTAGAAGCAAAACCAGATGGAGGAAGCCGAGCCTAGCAGGGGTGGGGACAGGACAGGGGGTGGGTGAAGAGTACATGTGCTCATATGTGTACACGTATGCATGGCTGACTGCCTCCTACCACCAGAGGAAGTTAATAAAGTTGTTCACTGTTTGGAGCCCAGCACGTCATCCCCTGATCTGGAGTCTACTGAACACGGTGTCTTATGGACTACATGTCTTCTCCTCTGAATCCCCACTTACCCCCCTTGAACTGTGCTTGGACCACCAGGAACATTGTAAGATACAGCCCAATGGAACTCACTGCATTTACCTGACAACTGCTGTCCAGGACACGGCCCGTGACACCACAGGGTTCCCTTTATAATCCTCTTGGGGAAAGTATTTTCCAGTCTCAGGATCAGAAGCTGTGCCTCTGAGTAACTGGTGTGCATGCGCCTTGCAGACACTGGGCCATTTAACTGAGTCTCTTTGCACCGTCCAGAAACTCAGGCCAGCTCTCCATAGCCACATTTGCCAAGTGTACAGACCCACACTGCCTGGATTCTGTGCCCAAACCTCACTTCTGGCTTCATTTTATCTTCCCTTCCCTTTGTCTCATTTTCATCTTCACTTCTTTTATCTTTAGTGGCAAGCATTTTTAAAAGTGACATCAAGTCTTTTCCAGAACAAACCAGAACTCTAAACTAAACTAGTATTTGGGCTATGTACCACACACATACACACTGCCCATGGCTCTGTGACCAGCGAGCTTTTTACTTTGTTAGACAATCCCCACTTCCCATCCCAATCTCCTGCCCTAACATGGGTCTGGGGTCCATGCTGGCACCTCTGACTGCTATAAGTCTCCTCACTCTTTCTTAAAGAGATGGATTGACTGATTGATTTTGCCAAGCATTTCACTTACCATAATCCTCATACTAACCCTGGGGATCAAACCAGAGATTACTTTTGATATTTTACAAACGAGACAACTGAGGCTTAGAGAAATTCAGTAATCTGTCCATAGCTTCACAGCAAGCTAGAGAATCAGGTCTCCTGGTTCCTGGCTTGGGGGCCCTGACTCTGATTTTAGGGTGCTCCTTCTCCAGCTCATCCCCCTGAGCACAGAAAGAGGGGGGATCCAGTCAGCACTCCATATCCATTTATGGGGAGCTGCTTCTACATACCAAGTTCCTTGCTGCTCCTAATGGAGAAAGTCAGAGGAAAGGAATGAGTACATGCGTGTGCACGCACACTCACACCACACACACACACACCACACACACTCCTTACCCACAATAAAAACAAAAACCAGACAAGAAAATGGAGGCTAACATCCTTTATAACACCTAGGCTTGAAAATGACAAGATGGTTTAATGAGGTATTTGGATATGTGTAAAGTTGATAAATTTTAACATCCAAAGAGAAGTTCAGGAAGGGAGGGGTGAGTGTGTCCCGGCTATCTAACAAAGGCGGAGGTAGGAGTGAGCTGAGGGGGTGCAGACACAGGAACAGGCACAGCCGAGACAGCGGAGAGACTGGTCTGACTGCAGAGGAGGTCTGGGAGCCCAGAAGGGAGTGTGGAGAGGGTGAGCTTAGAAGACAGGAGCACAGAGCTGCACCGGCCACACAGAGCCTTAGGGGGCCATGTGAGGCTAAGGCAGGGGAGCAGGGATCCTGCCCTCCAGGTCCTCACAGTCAGGCAGGGACCAAAAGCACGAGGATGCCAGCCCCATTCCCTATTAGGCAAAACGCAGCACCATCTGCACAATCCCAGGAGCAAGAGCAGATATTTTATAACTTCCTTTTTTCTTTTTAAGTCTAAATTAAAAATAAATGTTCCCTTCAGCTCTCAGATGTATATCTCTGGTGCAACCTGCCCACATTCCCTCCCGCTGCCCTTTCCAGAACATGGCAGGGGAAAGGAAGAAAGAGATGGATAGAGAGAGGGAGCCAGTCCACCCAGCTTCAATGCCAGTGGATTGCACCTCTTCCAAGAGGGAAACGATTCAGGCGTGGCCACGCAGACGGGTGGAGAGCGCCCAGAATGTGGCTGGTACCAAGGAAAGTGGAAGGAGAGGGAAACAGGAGCCAACAGCTAGGATTTCTAGCCCAGCCTCCACCCTATCGCGCTGCAGGACCTTGGCCAAATCACACATCCTATCTCTGCTCCCATTTATAGTTCATAACATGGCTGAAGTCCCCTCTGCCGCTCCAGCCCCCTGGCAGCTGTGCTCTCTGCACATCCGTCTGTACCTTTGCTGTTCCCCTTCCTCTTGGGTGTCCTACCACAGACCTAGTGATTAATGCTCAGGCTCTGGTCGTCAAATGCTGGTGCCAGCATTTACCAGCTATGTGACCACAGGCAAGTCACTGGAGCTCTTTGTGCCTCTGTTTCTTCGGCTGCTAAGTGAAGGACAATCCCAGTACCTCTCAGGATGGTTATGAGAGGAAGTAAGGTGTGGAGGAAATTCAGCTCAGCATGCAGCCTGCAGCAAGCGCTCCCTGGATGCCGGTTGCCAGTGCCATTCCTCTCCTCCCATGTAGTTCTTTCCTGGACTTTGCTGGTTTCTTCCTCTGAGCTCCAAAGTCAGCATTACACCACTGAACATCATCTCATCTCCATCCGTCTTGGAATACAAGTCTTATCCCTCAGAGAACAGAGCTGCGGAAGGCAAAATTGGGGCTTTTCCCTCTTCCTCTGATGCCCCCCATGGCATTCAGCACAAAGCTGGGCTCACACCCCAGGCTGGAAGAACACTGCTCATCATTACATAATTATTGACCAGGGAAAGATCTCTGCTGGACTGGGACAATGCACTCCTGACTACTTTTATTAAGTCCTAATTGCAGGGGGGTTGGGGTAGGAGACTGAGTCTTTGGTCCAGATTATTTTCCACTCCCTCTATCCATACCCTCACCACAGCCTCATCACAGAAGGAATTTATTTCCTCACTTTTTGGCTCTGCTTGGTCATCTAACTTGCTCTGGCTGACAGCACATGGGAGGACGGACGTGGCAGTGCGTCAGTTCTGAGCCCCGGCTCAGAGGCCTCATGCCTTCCTGCTTGCCCTCCTGACCATCTAAGGTTGCCACAAGAAGACATCCCTGAAAAATCCCTGGTCCAAGGAGGAGGAGAGACAGGAGGGCACAGTCTATCCCAGGTCAGGTCACCTTCAGTTGACCATGGTGAGATGCAGAACTGCCTCAGTCAAGCTCTGCCTAGACCGGGCAAACCCCAGTCAACTGCAGATCCCTAAGAATGAATGCTTACAGGCACAGTGGCTCACACCTGTAATCCCAGCACTTTGGGAGGCCAAGGCAGGCAGATCACCTGAGGTCAGGAGTTCAAGACCAGCCTGGCCAACATGGCAAAACCTCATCTCTAGTAAAAATGCAAAAACTAGCTGAGGGTGGTGGCAGGTGACTGTAATCCCAGCTACTTGGGAGGCGGAGGCACAAGAACTGCTTAAACCCAGGAGGCGGAGGTTGCA